CCTTGTAGATATTATTTAATTATTTCTACATCTTTGAAAATATTCTAAAAACAATTTACGGTGTTAAATTTCGTTATTAGGGTACCCTTCCTGTAAACGGACAAATTTTTTGGTCCCATGAATGTCCGCTTAACGGAGGTTTCACTGTGTGTGTGTGTATATATATATATATAAGTTATGTATAGAAAATGCTAATTTAAATTTTTTGGATATTATAAAAGAAGAAAATATCTGCTTTGTTGATTTATACGATAAAAGGAATGGTTTTAATTTTAATATAAATAAACTTATTACTTGGAATTCTAATGTTTCTAGGAGCATCTATTTAAATACCACTTTTAATGAAATGAATAGAATTAAAAGAATATGTAGTAATATTTATTAAACAAAGAAACCGATAAACTCTTTCGAAATTTGATAAAAAACAATGGATCTCCAACTAAAATAATAAAATTCTATATAAAATCATTGAATTAATCGTATATTATTGTGGATATNTAGTAATATTTATCAAAGAAACCGATAAACTCTTTCGAAATTTGATAAAAAACAATGGATCTCCAACTAAAATAATAAAATTCTATATAAAATCATTGAGTTAATCATATATTATTGATAATATTTTTACTAAGGATTTTCTTTGTTAATATATATAGTTTTCCCACGTGCAAATCCATTTCGGCTAATCCGTGGTCAAAATTATTTACTAAAAATTCCTTTACTAAAAAATTCCTTTGTTAATTTATATAGTTTTCCCATGTGCAAATCCATTTCGGGCAAATCCGTGGTCGAAATTATTTACTAAAAATTCCTTTACTTAAAAATTCCTTTGTTAATTTATATAGTTTTCCCATGTGCAAATCCATTTCGGGTAAATCTGTCACCAAAATTATTTATTAAAAATTTCTTTGTTAATTTATATAGTTTTCCCATGTGCAAATCCATTTCGGGCAAATCCGTGGTCAAAATTATTTACTAAATACTCCTTCACTAAAAAATTCCTTTGTTAATTTATATAAATTTTCCATGTGCAAATCCGTGGCTGAAATTATTTACTAAAAAGATTTCTTTGTTAATTTACGTAATTTTTCCATGTGCAAATCCATTTCGGGCAAAAATATATTTTTTCTGAAATAAATATTTATTTTCTAAAATTATTTATTGTCAACTTCTTTAAATTATCCAGTATAATATTACCTCGCGCACATCCATTTTAGGGCCCATCCTTGGTAACTAACAAATCAAATGCACTTCAGTAATGCAGTAAGAGCACATTTTAAAACAAAACTCCTCTATTTACGCTTTTATCTCAATTTGCGCTTTTGTTTTCATATTTTATAATCTGGCAATCTTGTTACGAAAATATTTTAAATCATTCGTGAAAAATTTCCCGTTCATGTAAGTTCATTTGATTTCGCTACTCTCTTTATGGATTATGTTTTATTCTGTTTTTTCTTTATATTTTATTTTCTGTTTTTATTTGTTATTTTTACTTATTATGTTCTATTTTATTTGTTGTAATTTTTGTTAAAATGTTTTGAGTGCTCCTCACACTATTGTATTGATATATTTTGCTTTGGCTATATGGATACAATATTAGAAAGCACTCTTTTTTGCGGATATAATCTTGTGGGCTGATGAAAAGATTATATCTTATATTTTCCGGATTTTTCAAAAGAATTCTCTCCTTTTTTCGGGTTTTTTTTNTAAAGAAATTGTAATTTTTCTAACTTTGATGATTGGGGTCGGAGTATAAATATTATTTCATTGAGTTGAAACTTTCCAAATACAGTCAACCCCACTGAAAGGAATACCATCGGTTCCAGCCAAATCTGTGCTATTAAGCGGGTTATTCGATTAAAAGGGGAGTGCTATAATCAATCTTAAATTCTGAATTTTTGTGAAATTTTACTTTTTAATGGTATTTAATGCGTGATATAGCGTTTTGATTAAATAAATTCAGTTTTATGATCAATAAATAATTATAATTAAAACTTTCTGCCTTAGTATCATGAAAAAATATCATTTAAAGTTACATAAAAATAAATCAATGTTAGTGAATCATGTTGGAACTAAAATATTATTTGATCCCATCCGAAAAATTCTATAATTGAAGACTGTGTTTTGTACCCGTTTAATTCGTCAATTTATCAAAATTAGATTTTCCCTTTTAGTTTCGACTAAAATTTTCATGATTCGAGGCATATTCCTTTCAAACACATTCAGATTTTTTATTTTTTTAAATCTTCGAAACTTGAGAAATTCCTAATTAATGCGCTATTTTAGTAGGGGATTTTTTGAAATTTATTGATTCCAAGATTCATTGTTTTTTTTCAATTAATTTAAATCATTCCTTTTCGCTCTCAACTTGCAACCAACTCAAAATTATTCACAGGATTAAGCAATTATTCTACTTAAGAGAAAACATTCTTTACACTAGTGTATTAGGTTTTTAAAACTTAATAATGCATCAAGAGGGGACCACAAGTCTTGACCTAAAAACAAATCCCTCTATCCCTTTTTCACATTCTAAATGATGTGCGAGTGAAGTAAGTCAAAGAGGGGCGAAACACCCTTCGTTTACTCCAATGTATAACTGGCAGCAAGATTTGATTAATTTTTCAACTTCATCCCAAACACCTACTAATGAATAGGAAGTCCCTATTAAAATTACCATCTTGTATCCTTATCTTAAAAAGGGAAATTGTATTTCAGCTGGTGAAACATTTCTCTAAAATAATTTTTTTTTCTTCATTTCAGTACCACTTCTTTATGCAATTAAGCGGGGGGCAAAAAAACAACAAATAACCATTTAAACGGGGAAATGTAACATTAGTTTAATATAAAATGATTTGGTTCCATTAAATTTTATTCGTATAAGCGGGTTATCCGAGGGGCGATTAAGTGGGGACGACTGTATTACCTTAGAAGTTTAAAAACCATTCATTTTAAGTTAATAGTAAGTAACTCAACTTAAGCCTTTATGTTAGATGGACCATAAATTGCTTAAATTAATTCTTTTTATCCACTGTAGAAGGAAACAAAATTTTTTGTTGCTGATATGTACAGAATAAAATTGTGTATGATAATCAATCATTAAATAAATAAATAACTTTGATTACATCCAAGCATATTACAATCATGCATAAACTTGGTATTAGGCTAATATTTGCTTTCCCTCTTTACAGTATTAGCAGTTAAAAAGACAGTAGCAGTTAAAAAGACAGTGCTTTCTAGTAACACTTCAATGTCCTGGCATTCATAAGCCAGGATAATGACAAATTCGCAATTTTATAGCATGTAACTTTACTTTAAATTAATATTTTGGCCGACGATGTTTATATTCTGCAGAAAACAACAGTATTTCTTAAAATAACTCAGATAAATCTATGTAGTTTATGTTATTAATGATTTCAAGAAGCCAGGAAAATGACAGCATAGAAACCTACTCACCTTGAAAAATTTTTTGAAATAGATTTTGAGCCAGAGAATTGGTTCTTTATTTATGCAACAAGACATGTTCAGATAGGAGGGTATCTAATCAATCTATTAACATAAGGTATTGATTCCTGGCGCTATCTATTTTGGTTATAAATCACTAAATAAAAGTAGCCAGGAAAATTATAGATTTTCATGGGGACAAACAAATTATTGACAGAAAAAATTATTTTAAGCAAAGTTTTAGTAAACAATACCCTCTGCGTATATTCTAGAAATGCTTACTTAGGATAAGATAAAAAAAAATTAGATTTTGAAAAATGTATGGGAAGTTTTGAAGCTAGTTACTATTGGAAATATTGTTTGGGACATGCCAGGCAAATGACACTTTGATATTCAATTAAATTTTTTAAGTATGCCTAACAGTCAATGCTAGTGCAAAGCCATTTTAAAATGCTTGCAGCAATGCTACTTATTAATTTATTTAAAAAAAAAAGTTCTTTTAGCATTATAGTATTAGATCTTGGAGCAAGGAACAGTGAATTGTCATGTTTCGTGAGAATCACCCATATATGTAATAACAAGGCTACATCCTTGTTATCATTGGTTATGTTTAGCTCAAATAATTCAGTCGTGAGCCAAAATATGTATTCAATAGTTTTATTTAAAGGTAGGCTGTTGGTGGTAATAGCTCACACCCATTTGTCCACACTGGAGGGGGTGGACAGAACTCTCGGACAATTCAGACAGATTTTATCAGGATCACATCATGTTGAAAGAGACATGCAAAAACGATTGTTCCTGCATTATATACTAACAGAACATGAGGTAAAAAGGCTCAGTCTCCGCATACCTTATAACCCTACTTATTATGGAAAATCATTTAATGCTTCCTAATATGGAAGTGAAAGAGGGAAAGATTCTAAAAATAACTCCTCCTTTGAAATATAAATCTAATTATTATTCGTTGGTATGTTTTAAGCCTTATATATATATAAACATTTACGTTTATATAAAAATGATCATATTTGATACCAACTTGACTGAATGGAACATGGTATATGACAATTAAGTCATTAACAAAATTTTAGTCACATTTTTGATGAATTTATGTTCTTATTTAGGCAACTATTTTCCTAGTTTTTGGCTACTATTTTCATGTTTTAGGCTACTAAATGCAATTATTTTGTTAATTTTTTTCTGTGGCAATCCTGTAATCTATTTGAAAATCGAGAGGGAAATTGCCAAACTTCCTTCGCCTACGACTCTCCATATGCTAATGGTGAAAGCATGTAAAAGTGTTGTCATAGGTAGTGAGTTCTGCTTTACACCATCTGTAGCTCATTTTGATCGCCAATAATTACATCATTATTTGAATTTATGTCATTTCAATAGCAGTGGAAAATTGTATAATGTTTAAATAATTAAAATAAATTGTCAATTAAAGTTAAATTTTTTGTTGTCTCTTGATAAGTTACTGAGTGTTGTTCGTTACTGCTTACAAAAAAAAAAAAAAAACTGCTTAGGTTTTTCTAATTTTATTTACCTTTTTATTCTTTCAGGGTGTGGATATCAATAATAGTATTGATGGGAGATTACCTATACATTATGCAGCTGATTATGGTCAAAGAGACGTTTTGAATTATCTCATAGATAAAGGTGCAAATATTGACGTAAGTTAAAAACTGTTCATTAAAAATTAATGTTGAATTAAAACTCTTGAACTGATGTTAGGAAGCATTTTAAGGAAATTTTATAACTGTATATTTTTTTCTTTGAGGATTCTTTATTTTGTCATATTCCTGGCATTAAAATTAGATTATTTTATTTTTTTGACATTAACGAAATTGTGTAATAAAGAATTTACTTTTATTTTAGGCTAAAGATAAGTATGGAATAAGTGCTCTACTAGCTGCAATATGGGAAGGTCACACCAGTTGTGTCAAGTTAATGTTGGAAAAAGTAACACTAATATTATTTAAATAAATCATTTATGATTCTGGTATTCTAATATCATTAAGTAGTTGTAAGTCGTTAATCTTGATTTTTATTTAAATATATGATATAAATTTATAAAAAAAAGTAAATTTTTTTTAAAATTTTAAATTTATCTTAAGGTATAGCTTCTTTTATGTTATCATGTGGAAAGCTTCATGAAGGCAATTTCTTTATTCATCCAGTGACTAAATTTCAGTTTCAAAAAAAAAAAAAAAATTTATTTACATGCCTTTAAGTTTATTAACTAGGTTCATATGGATACAATTCAATGAATTAAACAAAAAAATTTTAATGATCTACTAAAAATTACATAGCATTCATACATTATATAATATTCTACTCTAAAACAAAAAGTATATCACGGAACAATCATAATTCTCTAAAACTTTTATGGATGTCCTTCTTGAATAATTTGATTCAGATGCTATTAATACTTTTTTTTGTGTAGTATGCATTCATAAATAATCTGATATTAATTTAAGGTCCTTTCCAGGGATGAGATTTTTCCGCTTTTTAACGGATTTCCGTTTTTTTCACTTTTATCTCTTAAATTTCAGCTTTTTTTTATCAAAAATTCAGATTTTCTAAAAATTTCATTTTTTTTTTTTACAAGTATTCCGCTTTTTCAGAAAATTCACTGATTTTCAAAGAGAAACAGAAAATTCAAACTACATAGCTACCAATCCTTTCTCATTTTNCTTCAAGTAGGAATCAAATAAACAACATTTTAAACTGTTTCAGTTTTATATTAAGCTAAGCAAACTATTCTAAAGCATGAATCTTTTGTGGTTAAAGCAATACAGTGAAATTGAAGTAATTAATGAGACATAATTTAATTTTTTTTCGTAGTATGAAGAATTAGGTATATCAGTATAATCTACCATTGTCTCCCCAAACCCTTACTCTTATTGGCTATTTTTTTAGAAATGTTTTCAGAGAATTTAAGTAATTTAATTTGTTCCTCTCGGGTGCCACTGGAATACCTGTCCCATCTCTGCAATAGAGTGTATAAATACAATTAATATATCTTTTATTAAGGACTTATATATTTTAAAATATATAATTAAAAATTCAATTTCCTTTTAAGTTGTAATGGGGAACCTCATAAAAAATTCATAGCTAAATTTAAGATCCCAGATGAGCATTTTATTTTGTAAGGATTATACAACATGATAATTGGGGCATAAGTTACATCTCCTTAAAAATTTCAAAGCTAAAATACTAATTTAACAATGTATTCATTGATTAAAAACTTTATCTGGCAGTTATTATAGCAATTAGCATTCAATTTTTTTAAAAAAAAATCTTTTATGAAACATTCTGTGTTTTTTTAAAATATGGTACTGATTACAATATTCATGTCAAGTCTATCTTCATACGAAAAATCATTTTAAGTGTGTCTTGGATTTTAAGAATTATTATTGATTTGAAGATAAGTATTTAAACCATACAGACATAAATTTGCATCTTAAATATGTGTGAATTATGGTTTAGATTTTATAAAAATTAATTCTGAAAATTTTCAATTAAAAAAATATACAGTGAAACCTCGGTTAAAGGGACATTCTTGGGACCAAAAAAATTTTCCGTTTATGGGATGGGTATCCTAATAACGAAGTTTAACACCGTAAATTGTTTTTAGAATATTTTTAAAGATATAGAAATAATTAAATAATCTTCTAAAAGGATATTTATTTAACCTTTAAAAAGTAATTTTGTTTTACAAAAAGAATATGAAAAAGTTTGACATAAATACATAATTCTAAATGTAGGTATACAAAAAAATTGTTATAATTTTTCTATTACCACAGATATTCAACTTTGTCATATGATACTGAATAGGAGCTTTTAGACCTCAGTCAGATTCAATTATTAGGCTTATACCCCCTAACACTTGATAAGAAACATGGTTAATACCTTCTTGAAAGTAAACCTCCCAGGATTCACAGAAGAAAAAAAAAAAGCAATACATACCTGTAAGGCACGAGAACATATGGAGTTGATTATTCACAAGTGATCATCTATCAAGTGTCTAAATAAATGTTTCATTCATATAAACACCTCAAAGATCTGTTCTCTTTTTTTTACCTCAGTTGTGTAAAATGCAGTCTTCAAATTGATAAGAAAATGAAAGAAATTTTCAGTGGGGAAGAAGCATTTAAGACTTCATTTCAACTTGAGGGGTCTCATAACCTGTGTCATTCAGTTGAAGAGATCAAAAGATGTCGCCGTCCACATTATTTCACAAGAGCAGTATCATTTTCTCTCCTTTCTTTGCAAAGATAAGGGTAGTTGTGAAATAGCTTAACAATATTTTTAGTTATGGATAAGGCAAAAAATTTAGGCTTTTTAAAAATGGTCAAAAGTTGCATATTTTTTCCCTTGTAATTTAAAGCAGAAATAGGTCATTTTTTCAAATTTAGGAAAAGTAGTGTCCGGTTTAAGGAGATAGAAAATAACGTTTCAGGGCAAAAATGACTGTCCGCGCCTGGTTATGTAAGTGTCCGCTTTGAGGAGAATGTACATAATGGTTTATTCATAGAAGATTCACGGGGAATTAAAAATACATATGTCCATATCAGGAGGTTTCTCTGTTTATTNTAATAATAGATTAGTACACAATTGTATGTCAACACATTATTTATTACCTTAAACTGTCTGGAATTTATTATTAAAGGGTTGCTCTTGCGTAAAATTTACTATCGTGAAAATTCAGCTTTTTTGCGTTTTGGCTAATCTCATTCCTGGTCCTTTCTTTCTTTTATAATTTTTGTGTGGAAAATAAAAAATTTAATTTTAAAATAATGATAATTTAAGCAATGGCAGCAGTTTTGCTGACCATCTTTAGTTATCAGAAATTTTGTTGCATAACATAAGGTATCTAAAATCTTCCTGATAACTGAAGAGAACTTTTTAAACAATGCAATAAAGTAGAGATGGAGAACCTTTATCGATTAGTGGACCAGTTAAATTAGTTTATTATTTTTTAGGTGTTTAGTGTACCGCATGTTATATATATATATATATTTTTTTAAATAATCTTAAATTATTGTTTTTTGATTTCATATTTAAGAAATTCATTTTATAACCACATTTGCTGTTTAATTTTTAACTTGCTTCAAGTAGGAATCAAATAAACAACGTTTTAAACTGTTTCAGTTTTATATTAAGCTAAGCAAACTATGTTATGTAAGTGTCCGCTTTGAGGAGAATGTACATAATGGTTTATTCATAGAAGATTCACGGGGAATTAAAAATACATATGTCCATATCAGGAGGTTTCTCTGTTTATTAAAGAATATTTTTTTAATTTCCAAAATTATTCTGAAAGCTTGTTCGTTTAAAATTCTTGTTACAGATTTTTAATTAGTAGATAATAATAGTGTATTATTTTTTTTTACTTGACCATTTTAGTAAATTGTACTTTTCTAAGAAAGAACCCTCCACTTTAAAGCCCATATCACACATAGTGAAAATTTGTTCAATTCAACCATCAACTCAACCCCAATTTCGACTTTCTGTTCAACAACCACCTGAAACAGTTGAACTATGGTTGCCATACGGTTGAAAAGAGTTGACCATTGATTAACGAGTGATTTCTTTCTTTTTAGGCGATTTAGCGCTTTATACATAGACGAATAAAATTTTTCATCGAAAGACTGTAGTTAAATTTCATTTAATCGACGGCAATGGATCCTTCCTTAGCAATTTCAAGTTTGATCATTTACAGTTTGATAAAGAAAAACAAAGATAAGAGAAGGACACTTTGGAGTAAAGCATGGCGCTTACGAAGACAGAGATTAGGCTGTTTTGAAAATTTATTGAGAGAACTGTTTGCTTTCATTTGTGCAATGTTTGACATAAAAGTTAAAAATATATAATTAGTTTTATTATTGGAAAAGTAAATTAGGAAAAAAAATCACCATTTTGTTATAAATATATTCGTTGCATGCTGTATTAATTTCACTTATTGTCATAAATTAAACACATAAGTCGCAATGGATTTTTATCTTTAGTTTATAAATATATTTTTAGATTATTCTTTATCTTTAGTCATATACTTATTTTAAATTATTCAAATAAATTACCTTTAAAGTTTTTCATATATTTAATAACATAATATAGCTTTTTGCAATTTACATTTAATATATGTATATTTTACAACGAAGAAAACAAAATTTAATATGAAAGTAAAAATAAACAGAAAGAATAAAATTTAGGAGTTTGATAATTTTTGCACCAAATTAATGCAATAACAATTATTTTTTTAATGTTGACTTTAAGTTTTTGAAAAATTATTAAAATAGTTTTTTTAGAGTTCGATAAGTATTATTATATATATGTTTAGTGAAATACTCTAGTTTGAAAAAAATTGTGCTATTTATAAAAAATTAAAAGTTTATGTGAAACTGAATTTTTAAAAAAAGAAAGCTATTAAAAGGCACTATTTTGTTAACATGAATAAACACAAACTATTTAAAAATTAGAAAAAACAAGAACTGATAAAAGTGAACAATTTATTCCAAAAGAAATGTAAAAGCAGTTTCGATTAAATTTTTATGAGCTCTTAAATGATGTTTTCTGTGGTGGCGAAATGTTACATTCCAAATGTTCTCTTTTTTCTTCTAGAGTTCAATAATTTCGATGCTCCATTTAAAAGTTTCCCCAACAGGAGCTTGTTCAAAATTTTGACTCATCTTTGCTGCAATACAAGTAAAAAATTTTATTAAGAAAGGTGAAGCAAGTGTATTTAAGGCAACAGACAATAAGGGACAGTCATTAAAAATAAAATAATACCAACCAATTAATTCTGTCAACATATTGTTAAGGTATGAGTAAGTTTTTTATAATCAGAAAAAACTGAAAATTTTTTTTAATGGTCTTCCATGTTTTTAATAGAAAGTGAAATTAAAATTATGCATAATTACAAGGAGTATCAGTTACTTGTCCCATTTTTTCAAATATTTAACCTTAAGAAAAAGACTTCATTTTTAGATAAATAATTTTAACTTTATCTTTAATTTCAAATAATAAATTAATCTATTAAATTATGAAAAAAGCAGATATCAGGGATGCTACGCCTGGAGAGCATTTTGCCGTTCACGCCTCCTAAATACGTCATTTAAATGTCAGAAATTCCGTTTGGCAAATCAGCTATTGGAATGCATATAGAATATGCGTTTGGTGTCTACTATTGGATTATGTACAGCAGTGAGTAGCAATCAGTATCGTATGCACGTGATCTTGTAAAAAAAGAGGGTATTCTTTCCTTATACATACTATTGGTTATTATCTTGCTTTTTTTTCTTAGGAAACTGTACAGTGCACATAATTCAGGGATGAAAGACTTCCGCAAAAAAGTCGAAATCCGCTTTTTTCTCCCAATTTTTAAAATTTCCGACCATGTTCAAAAACTAAAATTTTTAGGGAGTCCAATTAGAGAAACTCAAGCCGCCGGAACGATAGTCGGATTACCGCGACTTCCGCTACAGAGTGGAAAAAGAGTCTAAGCGTTTCGTTTCGACCGCCGATATTTGATTTTTTTTTTTGTTTGGCTGATTTTCGGAATTTTAAATATTAGGAATTGAGCTGGAATATGCTAAAATCGCGATTTTTAATCAGACGATTTTAATATCAATCATCGATTTTCGTATTTAACTGATTTAAAAACTACGTGTTGCGATTTTTTTACGCTATTTAAAAATCGTACTAGCAATTCCTATTCACCTCAATTTAAAAATTCAATATCGCGATCTGTATTCTCACGAGTTTAAAATCCAACGACGCGATTCGTATTCACGCATTTTTAAATCCAATATTGCGATTCGTTATCACGCAGTTGTAATATCAGATCTCGTTTTTCGTATTTGTACGCTATTTAAAAATTACTCATTGCGATTCGTATTCACGTGATCTAAAAGTTATGCATCGTGATTCTTATTTACGCGATTTAAAAATTCAATATCGTGATTTGTGTTTTTAAAATCGAGCAGCGCGATTCATATTAACGTGATTTTATAATCCAAAATCGTGATTCATATTCACGCGATTTTAAAATCCAATATCGTGATTTGTATTTTCGTGTTTTTAAAATCCAGCAGCTCGATTCATATTCACGTGATTTTATAATCCAAAATCGCGATTCATATTCATGCTATTTTTTAAAATCCAATATCGTGATTCATATTCGCACGATTTTGAAATCAAATATCGCGATTCATATTCACGCGATTTTAAAATCCAAAATCGCGATTCACATTCACGCTATTTAAAAATCCAATATCGTGATTCATATTCACACGATTTTGAAATTCAATATCGCGATTCATATTCACGCGATTTTAAAATCCAAAATCGCGATTCATATTCACGCTATTTTAAAATCCAATATCGTGATTCATATTCACACGATTTTGAAATTCAATATCGCGATTCATATTCTCGCGATTTTAAAATCCAATATCGCGATTCATATTCACGCCATTTTAAAGCCCAATGTCGCAATTCATATTCACGCGATTTTAAAATCCTGTATCACGATTGTAGAAAGAAGTAGAATTAAGTTTTTTCTTGAATTAGTTACTGTAAAGATGTGATATATTTTTCTACAGTTGTTGCATTTAAACAATTACTAAGTGCATTCATAATTACTTTTTATGATTGGATATTTAGCTATATAAATTAAAAGAACATAGTCAACTAACTGATCTTGTGAATGCAAGAAAGTACAATCGACTAGTCAATGCCAATTAACTAAAAAGTTTACTTTTTAGAAAGAAAAGTATATTTATATGTGTCTTTTTAAATTGTTTATAATAGTTTTTATATATTTCTGTTATGATATAAAAATGTATATATGCTAATTTTTGGCTATTAAGTGCTCCCTAAAATTTTCTTGAAAAATTCCTACCTAAAATATTTAAAAATTTCACTGCACCTACTGAATTCTATCAAAGAGTGTTTTTTTAGGTGTTATTTACATTTTCTTAAACTCTCCTTATTTAATTACTGAATTTCTCTTTTAATTATTGAAATCTGTAGACCTTCCATTGTAACTGAATAGTTATATATTTTGAGATGAAATTTGAGCTCAATGGGTATTTTCCCTTTTGAATTACCAAAACTAAATAGATATTTCTTTTTAGAAAGGTTACACCATTATATTTTAAAAAATAAGAAAGTTAAAATTTACTTTGTAAAATTCTGGAACAGATACTATTCATTGGCATAAATGATAAATGCAATATATATGAAAACAACAGAGTCCACAAAACAATTTTGTGGACTCTTATAATCAATCATATGCAGGTTTTTTAAAATCCTAGCAATAGTGAATGTATGTATAAGTGTAGTACTCCTAGTATGTTATTAATGGTTTTATGGATCCTGAAAATTATCTTTATATTGTTATCAAACTGATTAATAGTTATTTTAGCTGAGATAAACTGAGTCAAAAAATAATTTTAGCTGAGACAAACTGAGCCAAAAAGAGATTTTAACTGAGACGAAATGCAATTTCTGGTGAGACAATTTGATATTTTGCGAGTAGCACCCCTGAGATATAAAAAGTACCTACATATTAGTATATTTAAAGTTAAATGTGTGTTAATACTTTTTTATTAAAAATATTATCCTGAAAAAACTTGTTAAGTGCTTTAACGGGTAAAAAAATATTTTCAACTTCCTTCATTATTTATTCAAAACCTGCTTATTAATAATATAAAGCATGCAACTGCATTTGAAAAATTGATCCTTACAGACTATGTTATTTAAATTTCTATCTACTTTAACTTCATTAAATATTATTTTTTGAAAAAACCCGCTTAAAATTTTCAACAGTTATATAAAATTACAGATTAAAGTTTCTTCAACTTTATAAATATTAAAAACTTAATCATATAAAGCATGCAAATCTATTTGACAAACTTATGCTACACAATAAATTACATAAAATTAAATGTGAATCAATAAGTTTTAATAAAAACATTTTTTTTAAATAAAACCCTCTTAGCGTCCCAAGTGGGTTTTTTCAAGGTGGGCCACTTGTCGAACCCTGATAGAAAGTGCAAAGTAATTGGAAAAAACCAAATTTTTATTCCGTGAATACTGACAAATATACAGTTTAAAAATAAAATAATACAAAGAAATTAATTCTGTCAGCATGTTGTTTAGGTATGAGTAAGTTTTCAGAAAAGTTTAATTTTTATAACGCAATTTTTTCCTTTGTAAAAAAATATTCAAAATCACTGAATTCAGTACCAACTCTAGAATAATTGCTGGTATAATCTTATCGGAACTATAAAAAGAGCAAAGTAATTGAAAAAAAAAACAAACTACATTTTAATTTGGCGAATACTAACAAATATACAGTTACGTACAAAAAAGATTAAATGCAATTCATAAAATTTGTTTATCATTTAAAGTAATGTCAAAATGTAAAACAAAACTACTACTTTTATGTACTTGTTAAATTTACTTCAGATTGGCGAATTTGGCGTAGAAAATCATACTTTTAATTCACGGTTAAAAACATAACACATTTATAACATAAACTTCTTTAATGGTTAGAAACATATTTATTTTCTTATAAAATAACTTTAAAATCAATACTCAATTAAAAACTCATCTAAATTAATATATAACAAATTAGATACGCTGCTTCGTCGCATAAACTTTGCCGCCATATTGTTTTGACTTGTGCTATCCCATAACCCCATGCGGTTGCTGCCACCTGATTGGTTGAATTGTGAAGTTGCTTCAACACTTTCGAAGAGATGTGAAAGAGTTGAACAGTAGTTGTTCCAACTCGGATAAGTATAGCACACCTATGTTTTCGGACGGGGTTGTCTTCGGAGTTGATGGTTGAATTGAACGAATTATCGGTATGTGTGATATGGCCTTAAGGCATACGTTATGTTAATGATTCAACTTTTAGCCAGGAACATTTTTTTAATGGAAGTTTTTTATTTATCACAATTAATAGCACATCAACAAATCAAAACCTTTTTCTTTTTTTGCGAAAATCTATTTTTTATTCAAGCTGGGATGATCCACCAACAAATAATCAGAAGGTATACTGTAATTACTATTTTAATAACTTATTTTATTTTTGGTGAATGATACGCATTCATTTTATTCAGACTGTGGATTTGTAGTTTTGACTGTAGTTCGAAATGAAATTCCAGGAAAAGCTTTTTTTACCAACCTTATATTTAACTGATTAATATAAATATGTTACAAAAATATAATATGTATGTTATTTATTATATTAATTATTATAATAATTATATTTCCAGGGAGCTACAAAGTCTGGATTTGCTCCAGATGGTAAGAGTTACATTGATGCCGCTGAAAAAGAAGAAATTAAACAACTTCTTAAATGTTGACAGTTTACAACTCAAACAAAAAACTTTAAACAAGTTTACTAAAATGGTATAAACCAAATATCAGGACCTTAATGAATAATTTTTTTTATCTGGGTCTGCTCAATCTTTCGATTCTCTTTTATGCTTGTATTGTGTGACAATTAGTTTCTCTTTTTTAGTTCTGTTGCTTTTCGTGCCAAATGATTATATTTTTTTTTTGTTGCACTAAAAGACTCGCATATTTGACTTCTCACCTAATTTTATATAAATAATTGAATAGTAAATATGATGATCACTGCAAGAGATTACTTTTGAGAAACCTTATCCTGATAGCAAGATATCTTACACAGTGTTGTATTTATTGATCTTACATAATGTTGTCGGTTACCATAAGCATAATTTTTTTTTGTTTGCACTACACAGGAAAGGTTTTGATTATACTAAAGGGTCGCTGAAATTTCTTAAAAAATTGTTTTGTGTTCCAGTGAATTTAGTACTAACTGAAGTTTTTAACTTAGACTAAATGTCTCACTCATTATTATATAAGTTAAGTGACAAACACTGCATATGATAAACTAACCAGTAACTCATAATATTATGGATATCCTACCATTGTATGACACCTTATTTATTGTGAATATCATACTATTGTTTGATGTGAATATATGCACACTTGTGCAACTATGAAAGGGTGTTTGATTTTATAAGCTAATTTGAATTTCTTTAAAAAAATATTTTACGTATAGTTCAGGGCTCTTGGTACTAAATAAAGCTTTAAAATATTAAATATATCTGTTAATAATTGTTTCAAATATCACACTTTGTATATCAAGTTTGCACTGTGTTTTAATGTTAACCAGTTTTAAAGTATGGAATTATTTAGTTAGTATTTATTTTACTACTTTAAGTAGATAATATTGTATATTGGGTACTGTGTGATAATTTTGTACTTATTTAAGTGTATATTTGTTTAGATTTCTATAAGAGTTCATTTAATTTTCATATGAGTTAAAAATATCACATTGAGACTCTGGGAACTTTCAAATAAATAACATTTTGTTCAGCATATTCTATTTTGTAAAAATGATTTAATTCTGTCTGATAAAGATTGTGTCAATTTGAAATTAAGTGATTAAATAAACTTTTTTAATTTTATTTTTTGATATTTTATAATTCACCGCTTAATTTAAAATTTTACTTTACTATCGCTTCACAATAAGCAGTTCAAATGATTAAGTTATAGTCTTTGTGTGACATATTAAAACCTAGTATTGAGAGAAATTCAGTTTAAGGCAGCCCATCTCTGTGGAAACAAATCTTTAATTTAAAAAATAACACTAGAAAACTTGGAATTCTCAGGAAATTAGCATTTAATGATCACTGTGAGCATGTTTTATCCTTTATTAGGCATGGCATTAAAATTGTTTTATAGAACTAATTATGACTAATACAACCATTTATTTTTCTCAACATCAGTGCTATTTTCATATTAATTATTTCAATACTATCCTCAAATTAAACTTTCCAAGATTATTATTAAATTTAGTTTAAATTGTGAAAGTCTGCACCTGTCAGAATTTGTCTGAAGAGTGGTCACTCTGAACTTCTTAGCAAAAAGAAATATAATGTTATGCAGTTGGTTTGTCGTCTGCCTTCTGAGCCGAAGTCTGCGGGTTCGATCCCCGGCCCAAATACCGGATTTTGGGATGCAGAAAATCCTCAGCGGCCATGTCGTATAATTATGCGGCATGTAAAAGATCCCTGGAGTGCCTTATTGGCTCTTGGCATTTCCGGCAAAATTAAATTCCTAGTGCACTTTAGCATCCAAATAGAGTCTCGGTGCTGCCATCTAGTGTGGCAGAAACTAGACGTCCAAATTAACATGACCAACGGTATCTCACCCATTGTGGTGGTCCTGAAAGAGTGGATACCACCTCTGGAGAACGCACTAGGTCTGCTCATCGGCAAGACCGATTGTGCAGCTCATTGGAAATAAAAAAAAAATGTCATGAATGAAAATCAGGCTCATTGTGGTGAAAATCTCACCCATTGTGGTGGTCCTGAAAGGGTGGATACCACCTCTGGAGAACACACTAGGTCTGCTCATCGGCAAGACCGATTGTGCAGCTCATTGGAAATAAAAAAAAAATGTCATGAATGAAAATCAGGCTAAGTGAGTTTTATAGCTTTATTTATATAAAATTTAAGCAGTGGAAAACAGTTTCTATTACAAAAATACGTATTAAACATTCAAAAGTTTTGTATAAAAGTATAAATTGGCAAGCATCATAATTCCAAAATGAATATTGCCATTGTTTAAATAAGTAAATACATACACACAAGTAAAATAAAGGCTACATATTGAAAAATGAACTGGGTACATTTCACCAATACAAATAAGAGTAATAATTTTTAAATTAAGTTTTATCTTGACTAGGAAATAAATTTTCATAGAAATTTATAAGTATCATAAATTAATATTTGAGAATTAAAATAAATAGGCATAAAAATGTGCAATCATCGCAGTTTCATACATTGAAACGTACATGCATGTGCAAACATGGTAATTGATTTTTTTAGTATTTGGTACTGATTAAAAACAAAATTTAATCTAATAAAAAGTGTTTTTTAAAAATCATTATTGAAGAAAAAAATATGCTATTCAAAATATCTGGAAATATCACATACAAAATATTTGTAATTTTTTAATCTTTTATAAATTTAAAATTTTTGAAAGAATCAAAGAAATACAAAATATAGCTAGTTCAAGAAATTTTACGAAAAGTTGTGAAATATAACCAAATTTGAAAAAATTTTGTATTAGGCTGAATAAAAAGCAAATCTTGAATAATATTAACACATAAAAAGACAAATTCAAAAAAAAAATTAAAACCACAATGGAGAGGGGGCGAGATATTAATTAAAAGAGCAAATTAAGCAAAATCTAGCTGCCTATAAAATTTAATAATAAAAATTGTCCTTTGAAACAATACTTTCCATAAATTGTGTGAAATTATGAGATTTCTAAACGTGGTCAGGGTGATGCAATTAAAATGAAATGAATTCAGCTGAACTATTACTTGAACTGCCTTTGCTTCTTATATCTTAATATATTCAATAAACGAATAATTCTAAATTGTAATGTTTTATTGAAGAAATAAAGTAACACTCATTATTTTTTTTAACAAACATTTCCAATCCTTAGTTTTATATTTTTAATAGTATAAAAAGATTATTACTGTATATAAAGTAATCTAACCAACAAATTTGGTGGTATCAGTGTTGAAATAAATAACACTTGAAGTAGTTAATAATTATCACTATAAATATCATACAAAAAAAATTAATTCAATATTAAAACGGCCTGACAAATAACATAAATAAATAAATGCATTTTATTTAATTCACACATTCCTTTTGATATAGAAACTATACTTCAAATAAAATGAAAACAAGATATGGGTCGTTCAAAAAGTATGTATACACAAAAATAGAGAAATTTTAACCCCTCCCCCTTTCGTACATAAGTTCTCCCCCCCACGTACATTTTATTAGTCTACCCCCTTTTTTCATAAAAATTAAAATAATCATGTTTTATATAAAATTAAATATTTATTTAAAATAATTTATTCATTTAAATTATTTAAACAATAACATCCAACGGGGAAATATCACCAATCTGGGAAAGTTTGGTGTTTGCAATTTTTTTATTTTGCGAGAAAACTTTTTTTGAGAACTGATTTACTCATTCTAACAAGTGGTTGCCGTGTGAAAAAAAATACAGGAACAAACGTATGTATAATACATGTGTAGGAAAAAGTCAAATTTAAATTTGGTGTACGCTTATAATGTACATACTTTGTATAATACCTCCCCCTCATCGTGCAAAATAGCAAATCCCCCCCTCCTTCGGGATGTACGTACTTTTTGAACGGCCCCATAGGATCATAGATATACTTTTGAGCTGTGAATACTTTACTTCTAGTCATAATCTCATTTAATAGATAGTTAAAATAAAATTAACAGTAAGTTAAAGTCAACTTAAGTAGCAGTTGTGTTATTGTTAAGTTATATTAACATTTTAATTCTCTAAACATAGAGTTAAATTATAAAATATTTTAAAATTGTAAAGGAGGGTAAAATTTTTAACCGTAGTAACTATTTAATTTTTCAATACATGTTGATAAATTTTATAATCTAGTTTATTTTTCATCCGTTTACTTTTTATTTCCAGGTAACTAATTACTTAATTAAAGAGTCAAAAATGTTGATAATTGCTATTAAAAGATAAATTAACAAATTAGATAGCACTTTATTCAGAAAATTTTAACATAAACTAGGAATTAAATTATAGTATTTTTATTTTAATATACATATATATTGAGACAATTTTTCATTATCTTTCATATATCTGCACGGCCAGCACTATTCTCCAATTATTAATAAGAGAAGTATATAAAATTTTAACACACGCTTAGATTTTAATTATAACTTTAATCACAGTTTTATAAATGAGGCAAAATTAAACTAAAGTTTAACTTATTTCACAGATTATAATCAAGTTCATATTGAAAGCAAATAAAATATAAAAAGGGGGATATTTTATTAAGCTCCATTGGATTATCAACATTAACAACATCACAAATATTCATACTGCTATGATAAATACTTTGACTTGAGACATTTTAGTGGCCAAATAGATTAAAATTCATCATGGCGGTTTAAAGCTCCGCCAAAATCTGTCGCTTGACTTCCGACAAACAGATCATAACTGTTCAGTATTTCTTCTTTTGATAACTTTCCATCCTAAAAGAATAATAGTAAAAGTAAGTTAATTGCAGTAGCACTTGGTGTTTTTATTGACTAAAGGCATTAGTGATGTTAACAAAAACCTAGGAATAAACTATAAAAATAATCAGGATTTAGTCTTTTAGGGATAAAGAGAGAATTTTTTTTTTGCGCTGTCTGAATATATTTCTAAAGTTTGATAACACTGAAAACAAATGACTAAGCTTCTATACATGCCCACAGTATTACTTTTAATACTTTAAGCATGCCCCCCCCCCAAATACAATTTCTAATCATATACCCCTAGTTTCTTACTTTTTTTTTTTATAAAAAGTTTGTTTTGGATGCAGTTATTTATAACTTCAACATAAAGTTGATTTTAATATCTCTCTTTGATTGTTCTAATTTAAAAAAAATAAGTTTTAAAATAGAGTGCAAAATTATCTCAAGTGAGTACTATAAAAATATTCTTGCAGGGAAAAGAAACATTTTACTTTTAGATGATGCATGCATCCATGAAAGAACATTTAACTGCCAATTGTTTCATGAAAATGATAATGCTTCACACACTCTAAAATATCTATAAATAATGTATCCAATAAAAATAATATTTTCTTTAATAAATAATGGTTTTAACCATAAAAACATAAAATAAACCCATGGTGAGAAGACAGGAGGAGAAATTGTGGCATAAATAAAAGTAAGCAATGCATTAAAAGAGGTTTCTGGCAGTGAGAATATGAGAGCTAAGTGACAACCTTGCATTGAAGTGAACACTCCAAATGTCTTTTAAGGGTGGATGAACTATACACAACTGTAGGTCTCGTTAAAAAACATAATTTAATAAAACATTTCTCCCCCAGTTGATGGATGGGGAACTGCAGAATGAATTACATACTTTGTTTTCATCAGATTCATAAATCAAGTGTTTTGCTTCAGCTTCACTATCATTGTAATCACTTGGCAGTATCCATTCTTGAACCTCTTCTTTATCCATGACACCATCCTTGTTTTTATCCCTATAAGTGGAGAACTGTTCTCTCTCATTTTTAACCCAGTCTGGCTCATCTTCTTCACTTCCACTGTACATATCTCCTGAAATGGAAAAACAAACATTAAAGTTTCAACCTTGACTACAACACACAGTTTATCTTATGATAAGTTTACAATACAAGTGAATTTGACAAAATAATAAAAAGAAACACAATTGACATACATAATGAAATTTAAGGCTTTGGTTCCAATTATGATATGAAATTTGTTCCAAAATCTAACAATAATTGATGCATCCTTGTAACAAACACCTTAGTTAATTTCTAAATAGCAGTGACATCATCTCTTGAAGTTGGCAAAATGTCTTATCGGGAGGAAGGCTAGAGGAGGATTTTTAGTATCAAAATTCTGAACAATTTCTAAATTTGGGGGTAGGAGATAACCCTCCTTCCTCTTAATAACACCTTTGATAGTTAGATCTTAGTCTGGTCTTACACTAAAATATTTCAGAAAACTCCATGAGCAAAAAAAAAGTTCATAAAAAAAACAGATAAGAGGACAGTAAACCTGAATGGAAACAAACTAGCTATACAAACCCTGTCAAGTACATATTTGCAACCATTCAATTAAATTAAAATGGATAAAAATAAACCTATGTATTCTTTCAAAGAAATTTTTCCATCATTATCTTTGTCAATGTCTTCCAGAGTTTCCACAATGACTACATCATGCATGTGAGCAGATTCTTCAGGATGGAGAAAATCAGTAAATTCTTCCTTGGACAACTGATTATCTTTATTTTTGTCAGCAGTTTCCCATCGACGCTTGTCACGCTGCATCATTTCTTTATATGTTTTCATGTCACTATCATCACCATCATCTTTGTCTTCTACAGAAGAAATTAAGAACAGAAATTATGTATGGACAAATAACATGAGCTTGAATTATTTTGCTTTTTGACAAAATAAATTTCAGAATTGAAAAAAAATATATAGAATACTTTTTGCTTATTTAAAAATCACTATGAATGCAGTAAAAAGCTTTGTAAAATGATATTTTGAATAATTAAAAAATGATTTGCTTTTTGGCTAAATAAATTTTAGAATTGAATTTTTTTTAATATAAAATACTTAACTTTTTGCTTATTTAATTAAAAATCATTATGTATGCAGTAAAAAGCTTTGCAAAATGATATTTAGAATAATAAAAAAATCTCTAAGAAACTAATATAATTTATTGTTAAAGAAATATGTCACAAAACACTAATAACTAATAAAGAGAAATTTACAGAATACAATTACAGGTTACTAGGTATGTATATATATAATAGCGTTAAAATGAGGAAATTCGAAGTTAATATTATGTACTACAACGTGGCCCTATATATTGACCCATAATATTCAAATTGGACCACATATTATATTACCGGTTCCAGAGGAAATAATTATAGGCTTATTACAGAAATAATGATACAGTGAGGCTACTTAGGCAGAGTGTTATTTGAATTTAAAAATACTTACCATCTATGAAACTGTAAGTAACCTTTTTATAAGTTTCCCAATTAAGGTTTTGGTTCTGATCTGAATTATATTGATCCCACTGCCTATCAACGTCTTCCATGATGTATTTCATTTGAGTATATTTGATCCATTCTTTCAATTCACTTTCTGACACAAAACTGTCCTAAAAGGAAAATTTTTTTTTACAATTAATAATAAAAGACAGAGAAAGTAATGATGTGACAAATCGCAAGTATTATAAAACATCCAAAAAGAAGAGAGAGAATCGCAAAAACAAAATTTTTAATATTGCATTATTGAGTTGGATGTGAGCCCTAATGGCTGAGTGGTTAAGGCACAGGATTGTTGTAAGGAATAACTAAGGTTTGATCTCTGGTGGTGGCTTGAAGCCCATTCAACTTCAAAGATCAATAGTTAATAGCATGTCTGGGAAGTAAAGGCGGCTGGTGTGTAATGCTGACCACATTGTCACCATCATGCTGTTAGAATCTAAAATTAATTAGAAATGTAACTATATTTAAGATTATAATAAATAACATAAAATTTAATTTTCTTTCTCAATTAAACAATCCACTAGAAAACATTAGCTAAGACAGACACACAAGTTGTGTTAAACCCCAAATTTTAACTTCCTTCCTTAAAAGCTCCAACCCAGTCTCATTTCAATATATACTTTGAAGGTCAATAACATCTGAAAATTAAGAAATTGAAATTGGAGAGGAATTTTTGTTTCCACAAATTAGGAACATTAAAATTTTTAGTAGAGATGGGATTTAATGCACAGTTATAATATTCTATGTCAGTGAGGAAAATTAATATAACACAACAATATCACAAATTGAAGCTTGAAAAACTGTCATTGATTAAAAAAAAAAAAATAAATAAATACCGAATTCTAAAATTTATGCACACATTTGAAAAAAAGAATTTTAAATTATTTAAAATAATTTTCAGTAAGATAAAAGAACATCCTTGTGCAAACAAGTTGTTATATTTTGTATGAGTAATATTTAAATAAAAAAAATCTTAAAATAATTATTGAGATAAAGTTTACAAACATATGTTTGCAAAATAAATTAAAATAGGACAAAAAATTCATTGACAGTTAATAGAAGAAAAAGTTTAAAAACAATTCCTAGCATAAAGTCTATCCTAAGAATTGATAATTTTATTTTTATTCTGTTCTTCTAGCTGAATTTGCAGTGCATAAAATATGCTTATAATTTTCTAAAATATTAGTTTACGTAATTACAGTACACCCTTCTTATTTCAAACTTGTCATGAGAAAATTCATATTTCCAATTAATTTTCTATTGTAGAAGTTAAGAAGTTTTACTAACTAAAAATTTTTCTTTTTTTTTAAATTTCCTATTTGAAGCTGATAATGACATGACATTTTGACATCTTAAGTCTCACTTTTTAAGAAATAACTCAAAAAAGTTAAATTATCAGTAAGAAAAGAATAAAAAGAAAGAAAAAGATAATATGAATTGAAGGAGTTGTGAGAGTGCTGTAAAGTAATCTGGCATTATTCACTCTTATCAACACCCAACAGGTTTAATATTATAACTGCTACTCTATTCCAAAGAAAAATAACTTTTCAAGTAAGAGTTTTTTTTTTTTTTCATTTCAGCTCATGGAACTTTAATAATAATAAAAAAATTCAACCCATATTAGAAAGGTTGAATTTTTTCTTCTTTAGTTTTCGGGGACAGCAATGTTAAAGAGTTATAAAAAGTAAAAGACAAAATTATAAATAATATTTACCAAGTAAAAGCATTATCTTTTTGAATTAATTATTTCTTTCAAATTTTGCACACATTGTCATTTTTAGAGAAATTAAATTATAGCAGAATTTAACTTTATTTGTTTAATTATCAATTTTATTGCTTTCTTTATTATATTTAATATTTAAACAAATATCTGAACTATATTTGTTTTAAGTATATCTCAGTTGAACGTTTTTTAAAAAAAAATTTTTTAAACACAAATCAAAATTTAATTAGTTTCCCTATATTTCAGAATTTTAATGTTTAAAAATTTTTTTTTCTCACTTTGAATAGCAGCTATTACATTTCTCACAATAATTACGTTTTCAAGTGGAAGGTAATGGGCTATACATTTACCTTTTAAATGCCACTAATTACGCATCCCTAAATTATAAAAAATTATTCAATAAAAACATAGCACATACAAGTACTTTAAAATAACCCCCTGTATAAGACACAGATGAATGAAGTATATTATGAATTAATGCTGACAAACTAACTTTAATATAGTTAAGAAATAAAGCCTATGTAAAGGAATAAAAAAAAAAGGAAAGAAATATCTTTTAGAAATATTTCTTAGACAATTTTACCACAAATATAAATACATTACTAATTATTTCATGCCTGCCAAGTGTTTTAATTTAATCAATATTTTTGCTGTTTCAAGCGTTAATTAAGAGCAATAAAGGTGAAAAAAAACAACAACTTTTTTTTCAATTTAACTAATATTTAATCCCTTTTAGCATATATACCAAGTCATCTTATAAGTTTTCAAGTATTTATATGTTGTGGCCACATGTTGTTTGCTTCAGCTTAAAAAATACTAAGATAAATTATAGACTCGGTCAATTTCATTTAATTAAATTAGAGATACAGTTAATAAAGATATGACAGACTTAAACCCTTAATAAAATTTAGTCCTAAAGTTTATCAACTACTGTCTTGTAATTAAGAGATTCAGCACAAGAAAAAATTTAATATTTAAAAGTATTTCTAGCACAATTTTACTACAAGTATGACGTCATTTAGTGACGTGTCCTTTTTTGAAGTTTGTATTTTTGAAAACTTAAAAATCAAAAATACTTGTTACACAAATTTTTCACAGCAAAACTCACTTTGTCTTTGTCAATTTTATCAACTATTTTTCCAAGCCTTTCTTTACTTTCTTCAGGTGTGAGTTGCTCAAATTTCCTTGCTTCTTCTTCTCCAAGAAAAGCCTCGTGATCATATTCCTTATTGTGTACTTCATTATCACCATAATGCTCTTGATTACTCAATGGCTAAAATATATCAATAAATGCTAATTTTAAGGAATCATCAATTGAAATAAAATTATTTAACAGCAGTCTTCGTTCGTTTTATTTATATCAAATAATTTCTTAAAACACCAATACACAAGAACATATATGCAACTGGAAAACATAACATTTACTTCAATATGTTATACTTACTAATCTACTGGTTACAAAAATTCTTAACTCACAGGATCAACTCACAATGGAGGTTAGGTTAGCTTTTAATTTTATTACCCTTAATCAGAGAAATTTCAGTTTATAACATAATAGCAATGGAAATTTTCATCTATCTCAGTCAATTCACAAAGAGTTTAGAATAGCATTCGATAATATTTCTAGACAAATTTAACTTAAGTCAGTGGTCAACATATAAGAGAGACAGATGGTTAGATTATAACAGTTTCAATCTATTTTATTTTATCGGATAATTCTGATTCTTGATAATAGAGGTCATTTTACAAGAGTAGTCAACTTGATAGGTTTCACAGTACCACAAAATTAAACAAGATTAACTGATGAAAATAGATAATAGAGTAGGAAATCATATATATTATTGTCTATTCACAAAGAGTTTTAACTAAACAAATTCCTGAGAAAAAAAAATGCTTTATTAAAAAATACCATGATTATTGAAAACTTATACATAATAATTAATTGGTAAACATGTAATATAATAAACAATTAATGGTTTAAAGAGTCAAGTACAAAGAATATATTTTACCTTGTCTACTACTCGTTTTCCACTTTCTGGATGAGGTACTGCAGTACAAAAACTTAAAACAACGGTAAAAATAAGGAAGAGCATCTTTCTAGCTTTCATTTCTTAAAACTGTATTATACAAAACAAATATATATTATTCACATGTTTTTAATTTACAAAAATTTGAACCAAATTTTTGATGAAGTTTTAAGTAGATATAAAAATTAAAATTTTTCATTAAATTAAAATAGAGTACAAAGGAATTTTTTCTCTCCATATTTAACTAAGCAAAAATAATTGTTTTTTAGTTCACAAAAATGTTAATATCATCAAAGTAGTAGAAAGGAAAGGCTACTGAAAAAATAAATTCAATCTTATTCAAATGCATAAAAAAGTAAAGAATTTGAATAATTCAATCCTTTTTTATCCAAATAGTTTGGCTTGATGTCATAAATGCTGAATTTTGTTTACTCTTTCGCTTGACTTTTCCCCTACTCTCCTTTTGCAATAGTGTAGGCAAGTGGTAAAACATGCCAAAATTTTGATGTAAGAGGAAAAACCTTTATGGCAAATTGAAATTTTTTTAAATTTAAACTATCATCAATATTATTAGCATTACAAATCTATATAGTAACATAAGAATAACATCTATTTAGTCATGATATGAGATTCTTCAGTTACATCACTGGATTAATGAGTTAAGGCTCTATAAGATTATGAAAAAGATTTTTTTTACTTAAAAGGTGACTTCATTATAACAATATAATACAAGTTTAATAATCAGAAAAAATATCCAAGTATTCAAATTTTACATTTTTGTTACAACCCTTACAATCCCAGAAAACTTCAAAATCATTTTTCTCAAAAAAATATGCCATTTACTGAGTACCAGAGATAGTAGCTAAAATTGTTAAGTGAAGTCTTAAAATGAATAAAAGCAATAGCAACTATCTTCAAAAGTAATAAAAGAAACTATCTTTGAAAAATGCTAATATGGAGAGAAAATAGATCAAGAAAATAAAAAGTAGAACATGAAATGTTTTATCCATCCCATAATCTCAATTTTTTTTTCTCCTACAGAGCTACCAACCTCAGAAATTTAAAAAGTCTGAGACTTTTCTGACCACAACATAGCATAATAAACAAAACAATAATAAATATTTACTCCTTTATTTTGAATCATGATTTCATAAGATTTTGAGTTTAACAAGGAGATCTTTAATAAATAATTTGTTTAAAGATAAAAAGCCTATATAAACTCAGTCGTTAAGAGCAGAGCTCTAATTTTTTGAATTAATAATATTTAGTCATAAATAAAAAGCTGGGTGTGGGAGACATAACACAACAATACGTAATGTTTGTAATAGATCATTTTTAGTTTTTTTTAAACATTGGAGTCATTGTAAATTACACCATGCTGTATTTATTTTTCAAGAAAATTTATCAGAAATATTTGTTACATGTTTTGAATGTCTGCAAATATGAAATTCATAAATGATTGCCTAGAAGCTAACAAAAAAATTATTGCAAAATTCAGAAAACAACTTTTAAAAATGAGAATAAGAATTAAGAAGCTTAAGTAAAATGGTTTCATACTTAAAACAGAGTTCACTATCAGTGAGCAAATTTTTAAAATTCAAGCAAAAAACGACAAGATATTCTACCTAGTCTAAGCTTATGAGTTTAAACATTTGCTATCTTGTTTTAAAAATAGACATTGCACCAATTTGAGCAAATTCAGAGTATTTGCAGTACATTCTTCAGCATAATGCCTAATTCATTAGAGTGTTATATTTCTATTAAATTTTTGAGTATGATTTTTGCAGACTCCGGATTTACAAACAAATTGTCTCAATCTCTAGGTTTTTGTATCAAAGGAGTTCAAGTGTATTTTATTTTAAATGTAGCGCTGCAATTCTTTTTCTGTTCTTTGCAAGTTTTTGAAATTTACATGTTATACTCTAAGTTGATACCCATCTGTGATGTTTTTTAAAAAATATTCCAATCCCCTCACTGCCCAGAAATCGTCAAAACTCGTTGATTACTTTGGTGTAGGTACCAACATTGAAATCTTCTCTGTTTTTACAAATTAAAACCTGATAACAACCGAGATCTGCTTACTCCAGGGATATTTTCAGATTACTACCTATTAGCACTCATTGAAATAGCCAAATTATTGTGATGGAATAAATATTTAAAAACATATAGTGACTTGACCAAGAAAGGGGACTTGAGTTTCTGACTTTATCCCACTCTATGTAGTTTTATTTAGCACTCATGCTTTCTGTTTCCAATACTTAGTGGTTAAAATAGAATCTTATGACCAGATTCGACAATTTCTTTCTAGTTTCTCACTTGTCTAGCTGTGGCCAAGACTTGAAGACCATTTGAAAAGATTTCTGTATCAGTGTCTACACATAAATAATTGCACATGAGAAACTTAAAAAAACTATAAAAAAATCATTGAACGGAGTAACTTAAAAGGTATAATTCATAGTCACATTGGGCATTGGGAATAAAACACATTTTTTTTTCAACTTTAACATCATTCTATGAAATAGTATTTTGGTAATAATTAGTAATTAATTTTTCATGATTTAATAATTATTAAACAGTTACACGTACACATTTTGTCTTGTTTTTAATAACAACTTTGTAATTATTCTTTAACAATGTTTTTAATAACAACTTTGTAATTATTCTTTAACAAGATGTTTAGGTAAAAAGAAAATAATTAAATATGAATATTGTTTATAAAAGAAGATAATACTCAGAATAAATGCTAAATTTTACAAAATAACACTCAATTCAGATTTTAAGATCTAATAGTTGAAACACTTTTTATCATACAAAATAAAAATATTATATCAAACAGATATTTATTCATTAATAGATTATGTCAAGAAACCATCGTATGATCATAAAAGATAGATGATAAAGAATAAATAAATAAATATATAACAAGGAAAATATTCGTTTAAAAGATCGGTTTCTTTGGAGAGGTAAAAGCCGGTTTTACTATTAACCTTACTTGTAAGGATCAACTTGAGAGCTGTATTTGATCACTCATAAACTGATGGTCTGTCAAAATTTAAAACAAGAACAAAACAAAAAACACGCATGCAAAAGCCACGTAATTATAACCGCGGGGCGGAAAAAAAATTATTTCTCCCCCTATTTATTAATGCATTTTTAAAAACAATTTAACAGTTCAGTTATATTTTCTTAATATTTTTCTTCTCCTTATAAAGTTTAATTTCCAAAAGTTATCAGGATTTCCCAATTATACAAAAGATAATTCTTGCTGCTTCACATTCGCCAATCGCATGGGTTCCGCGCTTGCGCATGTTTATAAATTTTTACTTGTGAAATGAATAATGACATTGGATGCTAGAATAATGAATCAGATTGTTAGCAAAAAAATAAGTGACCAAATAAAAGGAACATAATTTTTCGTGCCATGGTATGTTTTCTTCGATGTCACCCAGGGGGGGAAGGTGGGCGCAGGATGCTCCCACTTAAGGCTTGGGGGGGGGGAATTTTTACACTAAGTAAAACGAATAGTTTGGGGGGGGGATTTAGACGAAAGAATTTTTTTTTTTAAGTACATAAATAAAAGAAGCAACTGGCCATTTTCAGGCATACATAACTTTACTACAGGTGCAAAGCAAAATACATAAGGAAATTCTGGAAATCTACCTCACCCTATTTCCTGTCCACAGAGAATAGGGGTGCCACTAGTAATTGCTGACATTCTCACATTCTTCTCATCTAGCAAGAATTTCTACTTTCTTGGAAAAAGGGGTGTCATGATTGTCGTCACTCAAATGTTCGGTCAAGATCAATCGTGGTTCTTTCACAATCTTTGGAAATAGTGGTTTATTTCATAAAGAGCATAATTTATGGTATGGGACTGAGGCGCACGTAAGCAACAACAATACGATGACAGGCTTTAAGAAACAATCAATTTTAAGGAAAGGCATTTTTAGCGCTCCTCTTTTGATTTTTAAGATGTTCTTAAAAAATATCATCAATATCTCACTTCAAAGAGAAAGCTAAAGCTTCACAGGTGTTGACAGAAAACTAGGTTGGTTAGAATGGCCGGGGAAAGAACTAACTGTGAGAAAAATAAAAGTACACAATGAATATTTTTAAAGTTTTTCTTAGTTTCACAAAAGCGTTATGAATAATTTTGCCTTTGACTTTTTAGCGACGGCGGTTTGGAGTTCAGTCAAAAAGCATATCACTCAATGCAGCAGAAGAACCCAAACGGAAAGAATCGTCATCTTCAAAACCTTTAAAAGGAATATTTGCTCCTAGATCGTCTTGTTCAAACAGTGAAGACGAAAGTACGATTGGGACTGAAAATATCTGGGCAGAAAATGACCCAATACGCTTTTCTGGAAAGCGTTTGAACTCATATTCAATAGCGCATTTGTTGGAAATTGGTGCATGTCAACCAACAGAGTTACATTTAGACTCCGGAGTAAGTGGCTGACAATCTTCAACTACCTGGTATAGAGCAAAACTACCAGATGGAACCGAAAAATGCAGAAAGTGGCTATCCTATAGCCCCGCTACACATAAGACATACTGCATATATTGCATAATGTTTGGTGGCCCCAAAGCATCCAACGTATGGACTGAAAGAGGACTTTGCGATATGGAGCATGGGCTGCGAGATATCATGAGGCATGAAAAAAACATTGAACATGCTGATGCTGAAAAGGCAGTTATCCGCTGGTTACGAGGGGAGCGCATAGATAGAAGGAATGCAACAATTCAAAACGCTATAGTTGAGCAAAATCGCCGTGGTGTGAGTTTCATGATTGATTGCGCGAAATATCCTGCAACAGAAATGATGGCATTTCAAGGACACGATTCAAAATCAGGTAAATTTTTGAACTTGTTCAGAGTTACAGCGAAGCATAATCCTTATGCACAAAGTGATTTGGATAAACTAGACGCTGATCGCGAAAAAAAAACGCATTGCGTCAAACCTCCTGAGTTGGCGCAATCAAAACAGACTTATCCAGGCAATGGAGTTATGCATCATCAATGAAATTGTTCCGAGTCTTAAACTACACAAGGTATGGTCACTCATTATTGATTGCACTCAAGACGTCAGCAAAAAAGAGGTGATGGCTATCATCGTTCGCTACCTAGAGAATTCATCGAATCAAAATGAACCACCAAAAGTAGTTGAGCGTCTACTGAAAGTATTAACACTCAAATCGTCCACAGGAGCGGCTATGAAAGAAATAGTTCTTCAGACTCTCAAAGAATCCAAAATTCCGTTAGAAGCCCTCGTTGGGCAGAGCTACGATTGCTTCAATATGCGTGGCGATTTCAAAGGTTTGAAAACACTGATCCAGGAAGTTGCACCAAAGGCTGAATATATTTGGTGCAGTAATCACCGTTTTAATTTAGCGATAAACACAGTCGGTAAATCGCCGATTGAAATGAAAAGAGCCATTGATATGCTAGAAGACTTATACGTCTTTATGTCTGGCTTCAAACGGAATGCAGTTTTCGTGGAAGAGCAAGGAAATTGACAATATCGGTCGTTAAAGCGAGTCCAGACAACGAGATTTAGCAGACTAAAGACGCTGTAACTACTATTCTAAAGACTTTTACTACTGTAATTTCTATATTGAAGAGAATAATTGGAGATCCGCACATGGAACATGAAACCATCACTAAAGCGACTGGTTTGCTGCACAGAGTACAAGATATCAACTTTGTTGTGTCTCTCCATATACTGGATAAAATTTTTACCATTACATCTCCTGTGACAATATTAATGCAGGGAGTTGCAGTCGACCTGGCCCAAGCAGCCCAGTTGCTTGAAATTTGCAAAACTGGCATCAGGAAATTAAGAGAAAATGTGGACACATCGTGGAAAAAAATATGGGAGTTGTCATGCACATTTTCCGAAACTCATGGCATTGATACCGAGCAGGGGCGGATCTACCTAAGGGCTTTTTGGGCTGCAGCCCAGGGCCCCGTGGATACAAAGGGCCCCGAGTCCCCACTGAAAACAATAGGTGATATTTTGAATTTTAAAAAAAATATCTAATATTAAAAAAATCTCTTATAAGGTTGGCAACCCCGAGATCAATCAACCCATGCATGTGCACGTCTATCGAACGGAACGGGAAATTCCCCATCGCTTGTTTTTGGCCAGTGTATTTTTTCGTGTCTATTACGGGGGACTTCCCGCCGAGCCGCTAAACGCCTACGTAATTTTTTTTCCGCACTTCTGTTCTCGTCGTCAAAGTGACAAACTTGTTTAGTTTACTAACTTGTTTAAAAAATCATGAAGATTCTAATGAACATAAGAAACCAATGTTAGTGTGGTTGGCACGAAAAGAAAATAGATCTGTTTTAGACAAGCAGCTTCAGAAACAATTAAGAAAAGAAACAGAATATTATCACAATGTCCTAAAACAGGTTATTGCTGTGGTCAAATTTTAAGTATAAGGGACTGTAAAGTTTAAAAATATTAAAGAATTTATAAAAGCAGACGATTGTAAAGTCTAAAAATATTAAAGAAATAATGGGTTTGCAAAATCATAATTAAAATAAAGTAAACGCATAAAGAGATAAACTTAAAATAAAAGCAGACGATTAAATTAGAAGTCAATATTTAGAACGACAGAGTTGTTGATTCTTTTTAGATTAGTTTTATTGTGGAATTTGAGTTTCCTTATATCCCGTTACGGGTTTTCTAGTTGTTTATGATGTTTTCACTATCCCGTTACGGGTATTGCATATTTCTTAATGTTTGTGTTTGTTAATAAAAGTTTTTATTTAAAAGAAAAACTGAATAGTTCTTGATATAGCTTATGATACGTTACAGANGAACATTCGAACTAAATCGAAATCGAACTTAGTCTTAGTTTCGTTACCACTATTAGAGTTTTCGAAGAACTATAGGAACGCAAACATGTTTAGGTATTTACCGAGGCGGTTGTAGACTCCTACAATATTTAAAGTGCTACTCACCGGACCAAAAATGTTTAGAAACACAGGCGTAACGTTGCAAGCGTGTTAGTGTTTGCTCTTCACAAAATATATTTTTTCTATTGTTAGTGAATTTAATAATGGTATTATTTATTAAATTATAATCTAATCTTATTAAATTATACTATTATTAAATCATACTATTATTATTATAATTAAATAATAATAGTCTAATTTAATAAGAGTAATAATAGTAGTAAATAAATAGTGAATTAATTCCTTTTTATTTGCAGGATTTAAATTAGACACATTTTGCTTAAAAGAAAATGAACAAAAAATAAAACTTGGAATCTAAACGTAAGAATAAATAATTCTTACTCTACAAAAAAGAAAAGAAAAATCTTGCAATTAAATTTTGACCATTTTTTGACTAGCTTAATTGCTCAAATTTTTAACTGATTTTCTGTACAGGATGAAAACACAATTTTCAAACGCTTTCTGACCACAATTTAGCAGAACTTATCGCCAAACAAAATTTTGATTATCTTCGGCCTGAACAAGACAGGAGACTCAAAACTAAAATGTAGAAAAAAATGAAAATAAAAAATGCCTATATATTTAAAATATCAAGTTTCTTCAGTAGACTAAAAACATTTCTTTTTCTTTCTCAGTACACTTATCAAGCATGATGTTCAAAAACATTTCCATTTCCGAAAACACTTTTTAAAGGGCTTTCCTTAGTGCTCGCCTTTAAAATATATACTCTCATTGCAAATTTTATTAATTTAAATAAATTTTTATTCTCTGGCAAATCGAAAAGAAAAACATTTTAATATTTGATTAAAAAAATAAGTTAGCTAAACTTATTTTAATTAAACATTAATGAGAATAAAATCAGATGCATATGGAAGATTCTCCTTAATTATAAACTCAAAAGTCAATTTCTTTGTTATATCGTAATAAGTTGATTTTTTTGCAAATGTTTTAAATCATAAAAACCAATTAGACAGGTTTCCTCCCCTCCTCTGATTTGGAATCATTTTTTACACTATCATTTCGATTGCATCGCATACCGAGGATGTGGAGTCATTTCGAGTTTTTTCTTTTTACATTAACGAAGTTTATTTTATAAGGTAAAGGAACTTATAAATGTTTGGGGAACACATAGGATAAAATACATATTAAACTATTAAACATTGAAACGTTATAAATAAA